TAATTTTTAAGTGTGGCATAGTTGAATAAAATGATGCAACGTTAAATAATCGACGGAAAGCTAACACAATAAATTGTTGCTCACACATATGTGTTTAGCATAAGAAATAGGGGTTGCAAAAAACGACAATAGGATTTTGCAGGGGAGGTAACTTGTTGAAATAGTGATTTATAGTTTAATACTACACTTGTGCTGTGCTACAGGTGATTATATTCCCCTTTCTTTCCCTCTTCTGACTTACACATGGTTATGACGGCAAGTTCAAAAAGGCGTGGAAGTCAGTGGTTTCATTCGGTCAGTGGTAAATATAACTTGGTCAAGGTAAAACGTGGTTGATATGACGTTACAGGAAGAACCAAGCAATGTTGCAATGATCGCAACAAAATAGTTATGCCTACACACGTGGTTAAAACAACGTCTGGACTAACCAATTTGACTGTCTGGGTCACTGTGAAGGACGCTGACTTTATAAATAAATATGGGTTTCACCAAGAGAAAGAGTAAATTACATTGTACTTCAGTTTTGATCTGGATTTCTTTCCAGATATACAGTATTGAAGGCCGCTATTCGTCACGCCTTCTACTGCTTGGCTGAATGCGTTCTTGCAAAAAAATAATTTTCAACTTATTATTTAACTCTATTCATTATATGTCAAAGGGGACAAGGGGGCGTAGTCGCGTTTACATTGAACACTCAAAGGGTTAATGGGGGTGTTATATGATATGCAATACAGAATATTCTCGATCAGTTTGTGGCGACCGCGATTGGTAACAGATTTCGTGGACCCTGGAGACATTTTTCTAACTTCGTTTAATTACATTCTATCACGTGTTCGTCAATTGTCTGCGGTTATACTTAGCTGCGTGATAATGCTTGGGGTACATATAACATTACTGTTGTTGGGACAGAAGCCACATTTCTCTGAAACATCACAATACAAAAATAGTTCATATATCTACTCTTGAAAATATAAAACAATAATTATTAGTAATTAGTTCCAATCGTGCAAATCCCAATTCTATAATTACGAAATTTCGTGATATTATTATCAGATCTCGTGTTATTATTACGAGTTCCCGTTATACTAATACGAGATCTTGAGCAGAAAACATTCATTTGACTTTTTCCAATGACCCCAACGGGCTTTCATAGTTTTCTTTTCCCTCAATAACCCAACCCATCACGTTTAATTTGCAGCACAGTCGCAGAGAAGTAAAACGTACACTTCAGCATTTTTTCAAACATAGTCTATTTACAGAAGAGACTATCGACACAAATCTAAATAGTCTACGCACGGTTGTCTACGATAACAGTGTACTATTATCCACACAATAATACAAATAAAAATTGTTTCTAAACGAGCCTGATTAGCGCATCTTTATTTTCAAGGGATTTACATTCCCCAAACTCATACTATTTTTAAATCGTTTCCCATAATCGCGCATACTCATTCAAATTCATTAAAACTGGGTCATTCGTACGTACACAGTATTCTAATTGAATTATATATGATTTAGTTGTAATTACTTCTCTCCACAAGAGTCGACTAAA